TGCTCTGTCTACAGGACACCGGGACAAGGGTCCCGTGCCGTGTGCTATCACCAAAGAACCAAGGCCCGTCGTCTCTCCTGTGTGTGGTGTCGGGAGTTAATGAGAATGAATCGACTCTGCAGCTTCCTGGCGTCCTCTTCACCCCTGAGGATGTCCAGGTTTTGTGATTTCATTTGAGGTGACAGTGGGTGGGTGGGTGGGAGGTGACCGCCAGGAGGGGTGAGGGGTCGTGACGGGACTCACGTGCTGTGACCGCTGGCATCCCCGGCATGGCGGGCAGCTGTCCTCAGATGATGGTGGGCACCCTCCCGCTGCTGTTGTTCCGGTTGTTGTTTTTCCTGGACAGGTTGGGGGTGGCCATGAGCACGAAGCGCTCGTCGGGGCAGCCGTACTGCAGCAGGACGTCCACGCACTCCTGGCTGGAGGCCTGCCGGGCATAGGCCAGCGCCGTGTTCCCGTGGGCGTCCCGGGCCATGACGTCCACCCCGTACTGCAGAGGCAACAGAGCCCACGTTAGCGCCCGGGGATCTGGTGCAGGGAGGGTGGGGAGGCTTCCTCTCCACCCCGCTCGCTAGTGGCTTATGCGGGACGGGGACCGCCCGGGGCCGGCTACAGAAGAACTGGGCGGGGAGCTGGGACTAGCCCGTGCCCGTGGTGCAGCCTGGCCCCCCGCATGAGCTCTTAAGAATGCGCTTTTCTCAACTGAAAGCCCCTCCTTTGTGCCTCATAACGGATCAAGGATAACTTCTATTTCACTTTTTCTATTTGGACTGTCCAATTGTAAAAAGAAAAAAATAACCACTTTTTAAAAATTTCAGGAGCAATTCATTTTCATTGTAGAAAATAGGTAACACGTAAGCGCACAAGAGGAAAAAATTCACATATGATCTTACTATTCGGGGATAATCTTTGCTAATATTTTAGTGTATTTCCTTTAAAGGGTTTTCTTTGAATTTAAATATATATATGCATAAATGAGATAAAACTATACAAGTAATTGTGCCTTTCTTTTCCTACTGAACACTGTAATCATTTTCTTTCATCATCAAAAATTACTCAAAAACATGACGCATAATAGCCGCATAGTTCCCCATCACGAGCACATGATTCAGTCAACTCTGTGTCCTCGATTGCTGTACGTGGTGTTCATAAATTGCCACTGGTAGAAACAGCGCCGTGATGTGTACCTTCATATCAAAACTTTCTCAGGATCTCTACTGCTCAGACTGATGATGAGAAGAGGAAATACTAGGCTACAGTTTGCAACACTGTTAAGCTTCCTGCTCATGAAAAAGGGATTCACTTCCACTTCTGCCAACCCACAAGGTCATCAGCATGGGGCACTGCCGCTGAAGGAGCCCTCGGCCCGTCCGGGAAGGACAGACGGCACACAATTTGTTATGGGCTGAATTGTGTTTCCCCAAAATTTGTATGTTGAAGTCCTAACTCCCCATACTTTAGAATGTGACTGTATTTGGAAATAGGGTCTTTACGTTTGTAATTAGGGTTAAATGAGGTCACAAGGGTAGGGGCCCAATCCAATATGACTGGTGTCCTCATAAGAAAGGGCAGAGGTGTCAGAGATGCACAGACATGGGGAAAAGACCATGTGAGGCCGTAAAAAGGCGCCGTCCACAGGCCAAGGGAGAGGCCTTGGCAGACGCTAACCCTGCCCCACGCCTTGGTCCGGTCCTTCCCACGTCCAGAACCACGAGAAAATAAATGTCTGCTTCAAGCCACCCAGGCTGTGATATTTTGTTATGGCAGCGCCAGCAAACTGAACACAAAACTTGTACTAAGTCCCCTGTATGCCTAGTGAGCGAAAGTGAGGCTGAACACTCAAACGCTGTGGCTGCCGTATCTGTGAGTCTTTCTAATTGTCCCGTCGCTCCCATCACCCTCAGAAGCCTGCGCCTTTTCAGCTGTGCTGGACTGGCCCAGTCCTGCCCTGGGGGTGGAGACAGAAGACTCCCACCGGTGACCCACCTCTGGCAGTGTCCTCACATCTGGTCAGCATACACTTCCCCCTCCCAGCCCAGGGACCCTCTCAGATGGGGACCTGCGTGGTTGAAGCCCCAGGGGTGTGGAGGCCACTGCTGTGCGGGGTTGTGGGCTTCACGACAAACTCAGCGGGCTCAGGCAGGGCCTCTCTGCAAACTCGATCCTTTTCTTTCACTTACTAAGCTTCAGGACAATCATACCGATATGAAGTAAAACAGTAATTTTCCCCAGTAGAAATTCACCATAGTAGTCCAGAAGAAGCCCTGTCATAAACTCCTACCGCATCGGATCTCAAAGTTTATGGTCTAGTATTTTGTGTTATGTGAGTCAAACTACCACCGGTTTAGTAACGGGGACCCTGGAGACCATTCAGTTTATGCACCCCCACCCCTAGAGGATGGTGGAAATGAGACAGAGGCACACCACAGCTGTGCTTGACCCGAAGGGGTCATTAAAAAGATGAAACTTCCAGAAACTCCATCAAGTGACCGCTCGTCCCCACACAGGAGAGCGCATTCCACTGGCTGCACTTCTGCCTTTTACCAGTCCTTCACTGGTGCCCCCTCATCTTAAGGAGCCTTGCACAGGTGAGCCTGGGAGGCAGGGCCTCACACTGCAATCTGAATGCCCTTCTAGGAACTAATGCCCATTTTCACCCTGGGAATGACAGTCTTCTGCCAGACACGCCCGCAGAAGCATAGAGTGCCCCCAGCGCCTGTCCTCTGCAGGCATGTGCTAGACACACCGGCCACCTACCCAGATCAGGAGTTGCGCCAGGACCACGTTGCCCTTGCGGCAGGCCAGGTGCAGCGCTGTGCGGCCGTCTCCCTCCCCGCAGGTCTCGTTCACCTCGTCCCGGGAGCCATGCGCCAGCAACAGGATGACTGTCCGCAGGTCCTCGTCAGCAGTGGCCCGTAGCAGGTGCTGGCCCAGGGACAGCTCTGTGCACGACAGTGGGGCCAGGAAGAGCTTCTGCTCGTACTTGGCCCGGATCCACCGCTCCTTCTCTTCCCTGCAAGAATGACCAGACAGGTGCGGTCACAATCAGGCAGGAGAACCGAGGCCACAACCCCCGCCCTGCTGGCCCATGTGGTGGGACGCATCGAGAGGGAAGTGAAATGACAGGAGCAGCATCTTCACTGGGCACAGGGAAGGCCCCCAGGGAAAGGTGTATCCAAGGTTTACAAAGTGCCGGTTTTCACCAGCAGCCTCAGCACCACCTGAGAAATTAGAAATGCAGACTCTCAGGCCCCACCGAGCCCCTGAATCAGAGCGTGGAGTGGGGGCGTTTAACAAGCCCTGCAGGAGATCGGATACCTTCAAGGTGCAAGAAGCACTGATCTCAGGCCCACGGAGCTCCAGATTTCTTTCGCTTTAGTGCAGAAGCTATGGCCTTGCATCAAAGAATCAAGTGAGAGCTTGAGGCCAGGGGTCTGGGATCAGTGGCTCTCACCCCCTGACACACAGAAGAACCACCCTATGGCCTGGGATCGGCATGGTACGAGGACGGCCTCCACCAGCCACAAGCTCAGTTTTACTGTAAGCAAGTGAAACAGTGATCCAGGATTAAAGGACACTCAGCTAGGGTCCAGGGGCAGGACAGACAGCGGGCTCCCCTACCTGGGGGTGACCAAGTGCTCTTGGCTCTTAACTCATCTGCCCAGGATGGGTGATTTGTGTGAATTCCACAGGATCTCTAAACACCTGCTGTTGAAGTGGACACTGCAACAGATCCACAGAGGAAGAGGACAGAGACTCCACTGGGGAGCTTTAGGAAAGAGATACAAGCTAGCTCAGTGACCGCGCATACTTCTGCAGTCCCTTGGACACTTGGGAAAGACTTAAGTGGAGAAGGCCAAAGGTCAAGAACTCCTTAAATGAGAAGATTGCTGCGTTTTCTGAAGAAAAGTGTGCCAGGGTCCAGTCCAGGAAACAAGGCAGGTGGTCCCCTGAGGCCAGAGCTGAGCCAGGGGCACAGAGAAGAGGACGAGGCTGGGGAGGGGCAGGCAGGGCTGGGGTGCGGAGAGCAGAAGAGGACAGCAGCTGCCTCACCCCCAGCACAGCCTGGCTGAGACTGAGCACCCGGCGGGTGGGACAACGGCCCCACTTCCCCAGATCTAAAGAGGACAGGGGCCCTGCCTACGGTGTCTGGAAGGAGGGTGGAGAAAAAAAGGATGGAAAGAGAAGCTCGAGAGAGAAAGAAAGAAAACAACAGCAAGGTAGGTTCATACTGACCCCACGGGAAGGACCCCAGGCAAGCTGCTCCTCCACTTTGTGGCTCAAAATGATGGGTTTTGGGTTTTGGTTTCTCAAAAAGAGATGTAAGAGATATTAAAAACTCAGCAGTCCTCAAGACTGTAACATTGCTAGGGAAAAAAAGGAGGAGGGGGCAAAATATTTAAAAAAAAACACGCAAGATTTTACAAGTAGCCAGGGAGCCTGGCCGGGGGGTGCTGCCTGAGGCCTGGACAGACACCTTGTGATGAGGGTGACGGAGAAAAGAAAGACAAGCCCTCCACGTGACAAGGGACTGTGATTACCCACAGAGACTCAGTAACACGCTGGTTCACAATCGCCCTCTCCAAAAACTCAGAATTTTCTCCTGGGGAATAATCAGGGTACATAGCTACAAACTACACAGAGAAGTTACTTAGGGCCTCCACGACAGTGCAGAAAGAAAACTCATTACCTGTGACATTTCTGCTTCCGAAGTACAGAAGAAAGGCCTTGTTTACACCTTTTGCTTGTGTTTACATTGCTCCTAGTGATCTAGTGTCGGGTTAGCCCTAATCTGTTTTTAAATACTTAGGCAAACAAATTCTTCCAGGAGTAAATCTGGATTAGTTTTGCTTCACTTCCTGGTACATGCAAGTGACCCCGGAGCAACCCTCGACTCTTCATCGGGAGATTTTCATGGACGAGCACTTGGCTACAGCTCAGAGCCGACGCCCGCACCCCCAAATACTCTCACGCGTCCCCACTTGGGCAAAAACGCACACAACACTGGGAAATACCAGTTAAGGAGAAAGACAAAAAAAAAAAAAAAAGGTTTTGATGTTATTTTTCAAACCTTATTTAAAATGTATTAAATGTTTGTTGATGCATTTCATAAATCACAAAGGAGAGAGAGCAAAACGTGAATTACATGAAAAGGGACACTGGTGAAGGATACATCCAGGTTTTCAAGTTCCAATTTGCTAATTTTCATTTTTGGGTAGGTATTAAAATCAGAACTATTTCATTCTGCTCCAATTGAGTTTAATAGGCATTGCCAAATCATCCAGGGATAAACCAGAGAATTTAATATAGTAGCTACAGTCCTAACTGCAATGATTCAAATTTCTTTTTAATATTCAAATTCCCCAGCCAAAGAAAGAGTACAAACCGCCAGCTCCTGACCCTTGTGTGGCTGTATGCTTCTCCAGGGAGTGGCTGGGGTGACTGTCCTGCAATGCAGTCACTCCCCAGGCAAGCTCACCTGACACATTGGAATGAGCTGGTCTTTGCTTTTAAGAATCTGTTGTTTATGACAGATACTAAAGGTGGGTCCAGGTTTTGTGGGGCTGAAGATGTATACCATTTTGGGAGCCTTCTTTAAGAGGAAGATTCTAGTATTACGTACATGAAATGAGGAAGAGGGCCTGGGAGAGGGTGGCACAGGGAAGGGTGCCTAAACCCAGGCTTGCTCAGCTTCGTGGCTGAGAGCTGGAACAGGTGACCACTAATTTTAAGTGCTTGATAACCTCGGAGAACTCAAATATAGGAAATGGCCTTGATATTGGTGACTGTCACCTAGGAATACTGCAAGGGAGACAAACAAGCACAAAGTCTCTCAGAGGACTTCTTGGTGGGGTCTGCCTCTCCTGGCCCCACGTCCACGTGGGCCCCACGCTCTTCATAAGGAAATCCCCCAGATCTGCTCACTGTGTGGCTTCTATTATCTGAAGGAACCATAGCACTTCATGGAAACTTCTAGAGTTATTTAGAAACAGAAGCCTTCAATGCCGACTTCTGGGTCCTTCGGGACTCCAATATTTCAGTGTTTTTTCAGGTACCAGGAGGTGGCCGGAAAGCTAAGGGAGGCTGCTGGGCTTTGTGTCTGTGACTCTTTCCAGCAGTTGAAAGCCAACTAGTATGAAGACAGGACTGAGACAAGGACGCTGGGGGTTCTGGAGTGGTAATTCGGCAGCCCCCGTTCATGCTCAAGCATATACTGTTATTTAGAGCTCATCTCCTGTGGTCGTTGAGGCAGAGCTTAGTACTATGCACCTTCTGCAGTGGTCAAACAGAGGGGAAAAAATCTCCTTATCAACGTTGGGCTAAAAGGCCGTGGTTTTCAGCATTAGACAGAATAGGGTATATACCTGCTTATTATTTCTACTTAATGGTGCAGACTTTTGTCTTTCCAATAACTTCTTGGACCCTCCTTTCTTCATCTGTGAAACGGGCATAGTAAGGTCTATACCAGGCAAGGCCATTTTGGGATTTGAGACCATGCATCTGGACAGTATGCTGGCTGCAGCACTGTAAACAACAGCTGTTGGTGTTATGCTGGAAGAGAATAATGTCTCTAATAATCCAATGCTATTGTCAGAGGGGGGTGGTGTGCATGACAGAGGTGCTGGTGGCTTGGGGCTGGGGGTGCCGAAATGCCTGCTGGGTGTTTGAGGTCTCTAAATCATGGCTGTCTGTAGATATGAGCTCTACACCACTCAATGTGCTCAGCAGGAGCCCGGGGGAAGAGGTCACTCTTGGCCAGGGGTCTTGACAAGCCCATTGGCATTCTGGGAGACCCTGAATGTGCAGAGGGCCCCAAGACACTGGGATGGGGGGTGCTCGGCCCATTTAAATGACTCCATGGCTATCAGAGTTGCTGGGACCAAGTCTGATCATGCCCTGCTCATAGCCTTGAGATGTCTCGAGCTGTGGATGTTTTGGACTAAATTGTGTCCCTCTAAATTCTGTGGTGAAGACCTAATTCCCAATGTGACTGTATTTGAAGATAGGGTCTTTAAGGAGGTAAATAAGTTTAAATGAAGCCATAAGGGGGGAGGCCTAATTCTAAAGGGCAGGTGTCCACATAAGAGATAGAGACACCAGATCTCCCTCTCTGTCTGCACAGAGGGGAAAGGGCCACATGAGGACACGGTGAGAAGGTGCCATCTGCAAGCCAGGAAGAGAAGCTTCACCAGACACCAACCCTGCTGGCCCCTTGATCTTGGACTTCCAGCCCCCAGACCAGTGAGAAACAAATGTTCTTTATTTAAGGCACCCAGCACGTGGTACTTTGTCATGGCAACCCAAAAAGACGAGAGCAGGGGATGGCCACGTCCTCCACCGTTCTCAGCTGGCTCCTGCACAGTTCACATGTGAAAGATGGATGCTCTGACAATGGTTTCTTTTCCATGAGAATAGCCGGTCTAAAAGCATTCTCCCTAAGAAACCACGATGCCGGAGCACAAACACTTGAATTGCTACTCTGGGATTCCTGGCTTGTCCTGGCTGAACCTTCCACGTCCCCCCAGGAAGGCCAAGAGCAGCGTGGCCGCCAGTAGATCACCTCACCTCATTCCAATCCCCCAGAGGACCACTGCTCACAGCCTCTGTTAGCTAATGAGCTAAAAAATGAATTATTGGCGTGGCCAGCCGGCAGCAGGAAGGAGGGGCCCGGCTGCTCATGTGATCCTGGTGCTGACACACCTTTAAATAAATCGGCCACACAGGAGTGCGGGAACAGGACATGAGAGAACGGGCAACTCAGAAGAAAGACACGGACCTGATCCTCCAAGTAAAAAGAAAAGATGCATTTGAAGGCACCATCGTCAATATTTTCTTCTCTCTCTGCCTGACATGAAACCCCTTTTGCAAGTGGTTCCCCACCTCCCTCTGGGCATGACCAGGAAGCCACCTGGTGTGTGAGCCACAGGCCAGCTGGGTACTGAGTGCAGGACTTGGGCTCAGAGGGCAGGTGGGGCACAGGTCCCAGGAGCCGTGAGCCCTCTGGGGTCTTCT